CTGCTGTAGATCACCAGACCAGGAGGATGAGGTAGATGAGGCTTTTTTCAGACAACTAGAGGAAGTTTCCAGATCACAGGCCCTCGTTCTCATGGGGGACTTCAGTCTCCCTGACATCTTCTGGGAGGGCAATACAGCAGTATACAGGCAATCTAGCAAGTTTTTGGAGAGCGTTGGAGAGACCATCTAGGGACCGTTCTCATCTTGACTTCCATCGTATCTATCGTATTATTTGTAATATGGCAGTGCTATGTGTATCCCAGGGAAAGGGGGTGACTAGAAAATGAATAAAAGACCATGCCTGCTTTAAGGAACTTGCGATCTACGTCAGTGGAGGCCAACTTTTTTAGCAGGCATGCCACAAATTAGCCGTGCACTCCCCCCCCGTGCCACTGCCTTCCTCTTACCTGATCTCTTTCCCTTACCCAGTCTGCTGCTCTGCTTTCTGCTCTGTGCCCTGTCTGAATAGCTTCCCCCGCTGAGCTGTGTACTTCTCAGCCTAACTGCACACAGGCACAAGAAGGAAAGGGGTTCTCAGCCTGGCTTTCCAGTAGCATTTTATTCTAATCCATAGAGCTCACTGTTGTAAAGAAATCAGAGAGCTTTACCCCCTTCTTCCCCCTTCTCTCCCCCACCTTCCCTTTCCCAGTCCTGTGCTAAAAGCTACAGCACTGCATGGAAGCTGCCCCCTCCTGGCATCCCTTTTTGAGGGAATTGTTAATTATCACCCCTTTTCTGATCCTGGTTGTTCCAGCACTCTCATTAGAGCTGTTTAAAAGCAACAAACATTTTTGCCAAACATCATGTGTAAAAGCCTTCATTTTGAGAATTTTCGAACAGCTGTGATAATGAGTATGGATTTTTGTGGTTTGTGTAGCACTAAATGGGGAATAAGGGCTTAGGACAGCAAAATCCTAACACACCCAAACACCAGTGACCTTTATCCAAACCTGATCCAGCTACTTTGTTTTGGGCTCTGTGCAGGAGAAAAGGTGGCAAGAGCCACCCCGAAAGAGCTTGCAATTTAAATCAAGATTTAAATCAATGTTTGACTTCTGGAAGCTTTTTAGCTTCCTCTCACTGCCTCTTTTTAGGCCACAGGGGGCATGTCTGCACATGCATTAATACACTGTGGTTACTGCATAATAAGTAATAACAGGTACTAACTAAATGAGCATTAACCAGTGCTACTGCTCAGTAGTGCTGGCACATGCCTTTTAAGTGTGCAGTAGACTAATTCTGCTGTTCATTAGCACCATAACACGGCTTTTGCCGTGACGCATGAATGCACAGTAGAATCAGTGTACTGCGCATTGCATGTCTCATGTAGACGTACCCAGTGTCAGCCAAGATGACTGCTACTCCTGAACAAGCTTTGTTATTGTATGCGGGTAGTCCTGTTTTAACGGGACTATGCAAATGCATAAACTGTAAGTAGTTTGGTGATCTGAGCTTAATTGTTCTCTTTCCAAGTGTCTCCTCCGGGGCTCAATCCAGAGCCTTCAGGTGAGGAGGCTGACCTGCCGCGTATTATGTTAAGAAAGCTCAGCCGTTGATCTCAGCTAAAATCATCTAGGAAGCTGGAGATGACACTGCTGAAACTTGAAGCATGGGAAGCTGGATGTTCGGTGCGTTTTCCCTGAAATTTTCTTCTCTGGCGACCCAGCGGAAAACAAATCTCAGATCTTGCTTTTATTATGTCCCAAAGGACAAGCAGTTTGCCCCATCTCTTTTCCTGGTGACAGTGTACTGAGGGATGTGGGGGGAGACGATGGGCATCCTGAAGCTCTTGAACACAGCCTGATTCCTTGCTCTGTTATGAAATAAGTGCGGCTCAGTTACCAGAGGCACTTGCAGCTGCTGCGGTTCTCAGCACTGAAGGAGCTGTGCTCACCCCCAGTCTGGTCTCCTGCAGCTTTTGCTTCAGGCAGTCCGGGGGGTGGTGGCTTCTCTCCAAGCATCCAAGGACCTGCCTCCAGGACCAGACACAGGACACCCTTCCTGGCAGTCCCTCTGGTAATTGCTGCTTCCAGATGACAGCAGGGAACCACATGCTTTCTCTCCTTGCTGCTAAGTCCTAAGTCACTGAGAGCCACCCTAACTCCCGTCCCCACCAATCCCTCCTGCCTTGCACCAACCCAGGGGCAACAACACTCCTAGAGCAAAGGGGGGGGGGGGTTGGAAATAGGTTTGATTTAAGGAACTTGATTTGAATAAACCCCTCCCACCCCTCTTCCTCATTGGTTCCTCCCTTCATGATTGCATATGCACGAGGTAGCCAAGGGGAAGCTATTGGCTCCGGGGTCCCCTTTTCTCAGATACTTGGCTCGGGGAGGGGAGGGGGAGTGGGGAGAGGAGGTGTTTGCTTTTCTCCTTAGGACCGGCTCGCTTTGCAGCTCAGTGTCTGCCCCCCCCCCCCCCACGCACACACACAGGCTCCCCTGAGCATCTTCTTCCTGCCTCCCCCAGCCAAAACAAGCCCTCTGCTTCCATCCCCACCCCCGGGGGAAACAAAAAAAAAAAAGTTTGCAAATCTTCCCCTCCCCTCCAGCGATGGCAGATCCCTTCCTGGCCAAGAGCTCGCGAGCCCCTTGTGCAGGGGCAGCCCGGGCTGGGAAAGGCAGCGCTGGGGAAGACTGATCCCTTTTGCACGGAGCGTGTGCGCGGAGGGGAGTCCAGGGCTGGTCAGTTTCACCCCCGGGAGACCTGGTCAGTTTCACCCCCGGGGCTGCAGACCGGCTCCGTCGCTGCCCGGCCGGCGCCCCCTGCTCCCGCCCGGCTGCCGGTGGGAAGGCGGAGGAATGCATCTCCTCCGGCGGGACGGATCCGTGCTGCAATGGTAAGCCCCGGCTCGTGTTGCATGCATCCCCGGAGCTGGCTGTGCTGTTGGGCTGGAGACTGAAGGGCAGCGGAGAGGGAGAGCCGGCCCATGCTGATGGCTCTGCCCCGGACTTCTCCAAGTGTCTTTTTTTGCTGCTGTTGCTGTAGCTAAAGGGTGCAGGGATGCCATGAAACGCGCTGCCCGGTTACCTTGCCTGGCTGGAGTGACATTGGTCCACCAGCTTTTGCTTTCCCGCTGCTGAAGACTACGGACGGGGGGGAGATCGCCCGCAAGCTACGGCAGGGTTTGTTTCTCCTCTTTAAAAACCAACCAGACATAAATAAATACTCCCCAGATCTCTTCTGCAATTGGGAGACAGGTTAGCGGGCTGGGGAAGGGGATCAGACGCCTGTTTCTTAATGCAATATGGCTGGTAAATAAAACCCCGATTGCTAAGAGATCCGGGGCTGCGATTGCCAGAGCCTCGCTTCATACTTCCTTCCCAGTCCTGCCTCTCCCTTCACCTGCCGCAGAAACTCGGATTCACCCTCCTGCCAATGCACCAAGGCAGGCAGCGCCACTTGCCCCCCCACCTTTTTTTTTTTTTTTTGCGGGGGGGGGAAGTCGTCCCCATTGCTGCCCATGTCGAGCAGCCGGGGTGCTTCTCCCCTTATCAGCCCTTGCACAGCTGGTGCCAATATTAGCATCTCTGCAAGCTGCATTGAAGTGGGAGATGCTGTGATGCCAGCCTCCCATGTGCAGTGTTTTTGGTCTGTGTGTATAGGAATCTTGTAGTTTCCTGGCAGCAGCAGCGGCAGCAGCAAAAGCTTCTTCAGCTCTGGTGACTTCCAGGGAGCGGCATGTTAGGAAGGTGTGTGGATTTATTTACTGTGTAGGGACCGTCCCTCATTTTGTATCTCTGGACAAACTCCACTCAAGTCCAGTGGATTTCCGCTGGTGAGAGGCACAGCGGAGGGTTATCCATAGGCTTTAGTTGGGGGAGGCTGGAATGATCTGGAGTCCTGCATCCAGTTTTTGGGTCCCCCCCGGCTACAAGAAGGATGTGGACAAATTGGAGAAAGTCCAGTGGAGGGCAACAAAAATGGTTCGGGGGCTGGGGGACAGGACTGGTGAGGAGAGACTGAGGGCACTGGGCTTGTTTGGTGTGGAGAAGAGAAGACTGAAGGGGGGATTTAATAGCAGCCTTCAGCAACCTGAAGTGGGGTTTGAAAGGATGCAGCTGGACTGGTCTCAGTGGGGGCAGATGACAGGACAAGGAGCAATGGGCTCAAGCTGCAGCAAGGGAAGTTGAGGTTGGATATGAGGAAAAACTTTCTCACTAGGAGGGCAGTAAAACAGTGGAACAGGGTACCCAGAGAGGTGGTGGAGTCTCCATCCGTGGAGATTTTTAAGGCCCTGCTAGACAAAGCCTTGGCTGGGGTGATCTAGTTGGGGATGCTTTGAGCAGGGGATTGGACTACTTGTGACTTCCTGAGGTCCCTTCCAGCCCTCATTTTCTGTGATTTTATGATTTGACCTTTGGCTTTAGGGTGGGGTGTTATTGCAGATGATAAAAGCAGGGGGAAGTGATTCCAAAGAAAGATTGTGGATGCCCAGAGAACATTTGAAGACCCCTCATTTCCTTGTGTATGGGTTAATTACAATGCATGTGTCGTCCCCTTACAGCCATCTGCAAAGTGACTGAAGCAGAGTTAACGTACATGCAGATGAGCATGCTGTTTGGGTACAACACTGTCTCCCTTCTGTATTCCTTTTATACAGCATAGGTTGGACAGAGCAGGGAACAGCTGATGGAGCCAATTTATCAAATGAATGTGAATCGGTCTTCACTCTGTATCACTATCAACCAGAGCGGGAAGGTCAGCTCCTTAACCTGATTGAGGTATAGATACGGAGAAAGCAGGTTTTATAGGATTTCTGATTCCAACAATGCAAAAACCCAGCTCTGTCTCCCAGAAGTTATCCAAGGGATGGAAATAAATGACACCGTTCCATTATGACAAGGAACAGAAAACGTGTGATGACAACACATGGATTCTAAGTGTTTGTGTCTTAGACATGGCTTAGCACAGTGGTGCTCAACCTTTTTAGAGTCAAGGCACCTCTCGCTAGGCTCAAGGCACCCCTTAGCTCAATTTTCTGATTGCATTTTGACTGTAGAAAAATAATAGAGCGATTCTTCGTCTGGTACCAAGAACTCAGAAAGATCACAGCAGGTCAGAATATTTTTAATGCTATGAATTCCTGTTTGAAATCTATGGGTTTATATTGTGAAACAGGTTTGCATGCCTAACGTTGTGTGGCACCCTTAAAGGATCTCAAGGCACCACTGTGGGGCCCTAGTTGAGAATCACTGGCTTAGGGTTTGGGGTTTTTTTTTTATAACATTTAATATTGCTCTTTGCTGAGGTGGGCACTTGTCATTGCTGTAGTGAGCCTATAAATTCAAATACAGTCCGCTATTGCATTGACCATCACTTGCAACTTTATTACAGTGTGGAGGTTCCTTTGGGGGTTGTCTATTAATTAGAAGACATGTTTCATACATGTGTGCAGTCATCAGAGAGATGGCTACTTGAAGAGGCGAAATTGCTAGATCAACAGGGGCTTCTCTTGACTGAGCAGAAGGAGAACCAGCTAGTCCAGATTATTTTTCTTCCAACTCAATATCTGTGAGAGAAAAAATAATATAGAGCCGGTAATGGGTGTCATTGCAACACTCAAAAGCCTACCTTCCCCTGGTATAGTTTAGATGCATATACTGAAGAGTGGAAACATCAAGAAAGGAGATGTGGTGTTGATGGTGCCACTGGGAGGAATTATTGGGTAGAATGAAATTAAAATAGGGGGAAAATGCATGGAGAATTGGAAGACAGCCTTTAAATGATGAGACCCTCTTGATTATGGAGTAGTCTACTGGTCGCCTTCAAACCATCATTCCTCTGAACTCTCTTGGTTTAGAGGTGCAGCATCCTGGAGGCACTCTTTTGGGGTTAATTTTCCGATGCCTATGTCTTTGCCTTTATTTTTTTTTTTATGAGCAGACAACTGTTATTAGTTGTTTTAGTCTGAAGTCAAGTAGAAGACAGGGTAGCTATGCACCTTAGAGATTAACCAAAGTAGATAGGTGTGTATAGCACAAGCTTTTGTGAGCTGAAGTGCACTTGATCAGATGCTATGAAAAGCCTTTCACAGCACAGTCCATAAATGCAAATCTATCCTGCCTTTTCTTTTCTTTTTTCTTTTCTTTTCTTTTTTTTTCTTTTCTTTTCCCCCTCTGTCCCTATCTGTCCCTCTCTCCTCCCCCCTCCTTCGGCCTGGACCCTTGTCCAAAAAGCTAATTCCTTTGAATACAAAGGTTTGGAGCAATAAACTTTCCTTTGGGTGCTTAGAGCAAAAATGTTAATTGCTAAATTGGCACAAACTCATCCTAAAACCAGAATGATCTAAGTTAAGAAATACAGCGAAAGGAAAAACATGTGCACAAACAAACCAGGGCCAAGAAAATCCAAGTTTGATTGTTATACCACAATGTAAATCTTTGCTGAGATCTGAAAGTCTTGCTAGAATAAGAGATCTTATCGTTGCTACAGATTCTAATCAGAAGTACATTCAGTTGCCTAGGTCCTAAGCAGCTGTAAACCAGCGTAGCTCTGTTGAAGTCAGTGCAGTTCCTTGGATTTATGCCACCCAAATATATAGCCCCTTGTGATCATTGCTGTAAGTGTATCTCTCTGCCCTTCCTGACAGTGAAGAGCACTTGGTGGCTTATGCTTCCTTGTTTTTACATCCCCCCCACCTTTAATGTTTGCAATCTAATACCATATGACCATTTTAGACACAATTGTCCTCTCCGTTAAGGCTGATTCAGTGCCTGTTGCCCCCCCCCGGGGTACTAGAATGAGCCTTCCCACGGGTGTAAATCAGGAATAACTCCACTAAAGGCAGTGAAGTCACAGCAGCGTGGGACCGTTTCTCCTTTTCCATAGCCCATTTCTATAATCGTCCTTTGCATCAGCTTATAGATGAGCATCATTACATTACTGAGTAAGCCTAATACTCTGCATTTTTATATACCACACCATTGCTTGATTATTTAATGAAGCCTAGCATCCCGTCTTTCAGTCCCCTTCCTATTTAATATGCAGCATGTGAAATACATCCTTTGAATCTGGGGAACAGGTGGTATTAGCCGCACACACTCCTTAATAGATGCCAGCATTCACTGTCCTGTGATGGCTGGCTGGAAAACTGAGACACCATTCAGTTGCTGACAACCAAAGTTGATGCAAAAAAATAGGAGAAAAATGCATGCATTTTGGCAGATTGCTTTTTCTTTGCTTGGTCCTTATCTGAGCCGATGCAGTAACTGCGGTTTGTTGCTTTAGGGCATTTCCAGTGCTCCTGCCTGAACATTTTGCCACCCAAGGAAAAAATGGAAACCATGAAACCTTTCGGTATGGGCCAGATTCTCAACCCATTACACGTACAATATAATACTTTAAACAGTGCCTAGCCCCATATAAGTTGATGGAATTACTTGTGGACGAAGACCATCAGAATTGGCCTGTGTCCATGGTTAATACTTTCAGGCTGCATTTCACGCTTAGGGGTTGGATCATCCCATCTCCCAAAGGAAGAGGAAAAAATCCCAACATTTAAGACAAAAGGGCATTTCCCCTAATTAAATGTTGGAAATGAGCCTGCATCCATAAAGAGACACAGTTAAATAACTCTTCCATTCTTATTTGTGCTGCTTCTACTATTGCCCTACCTACTGGAGGTAGCCTAATACTGTCACCTTATCAGGGTGAACTAGTCACCCTAGCATCCAAGTTTATCTGTGTAGGAGCCAGATCGTAGCTTTGTCAATCAGTGTAACAGTTGTATTACCATTTCTTTCCAAGGGCACCTTTTACACACCTGTGGAAATGGATGCGATGATTTTTTTTCACCATTTGAATCCTTTGTTATTTACGGTACAAATGAGGGAATCC